TTATTTATGCATTTATTTATTTATTTATGCATTTATTTATTTATGCATTTTATTATTTATTAATTCATGCATTTATTTATAAATTAATTTATGCATTTATTTATACATTTATTTATTAATTTATGCATTTATTTATTTATTTATGCATGTTTATATAGGCATTTATTTATTTATTTATGCATTTTATTTTATGAATTTATTTATGAATTTATGCATTTCATTATTAATTGATGCACGTTTATTTATGCATTTGTTTACACATTTTAATTTACGCATCTACTTATTAATTTATGCATTTTTATTTATGTATGTTTATTTATGCATTTATTTATTTTTTTGTATGTATTTATTTAATTATGCATTGTTAATTTATGCATTTATTTAACGGAGCAAGGAATTTTGCCACAGTATTTCCTAAAATATTTTTTCTTCTGGAGAAAGTCTTGTGACATGAGAACTCTGTACATCAACAAAACTGGAATTTACAAACAAAAGCAGAACTATTTATTCATTCATTTTCTTTTCGGCTTAGTCCCTTATTCATCAGGCGTCGCCACAGCAGAATGAACCGCCGGCGCCAACTATTCCAGCATATGTTTTACACAGCGGATGCCTTTTCACCTGCAACCCAGCAATGGGAAACACCCATACACACACACTCATACACTACGACCATTTTAGTTGACCTATTTCCCTATCGCGCATTTGTTTGAACTATGAAGGAAACCAGAGCACCCAGAGGAAACCCACGCCAACACGGGGGGAACAAACTCCACAAAGAAATGCCCAGAAGTCACTCGAACCAGCGACCTTCTTGCTGTGAGGCCACAGTGTGACACCACTGAGCCACCCCACTATTACTACGTATTACTATTTAATACTAACAAGCATTTTTTGCATATTATAGCACTTAGCTAATCATTGTTAGCATGTTGCTAATCATTGCTAGCATGTTTAACATACAAAACATTCTATTTGCTAGCATTAGTCAATCGAGACAATCTCTATGTGTCTATGATGTTCTGATGCTGAGATATCGCCGTTTTTAAATGGTTGCTAGGTTGGTCTGTTTTGTTGCTATGAGTTGATGTACAGCTTAAAATGATGATACATTAAAGCTTCCTGCCTATATGAATGATATAAATTGACCCAGATGTCTCTATGGCAGTGCAGTATAAAGAGATCAATCTGGGCCTTTATAATGGGAGTCTATGAGTTTCTTCAGCATTGTAGGTATGGGGATGTTTGGGGTGCTCCTGCACTCCAGGGATACAACTTATACCCCAGTTTAATATGTAGTTTTACACAGTGTGAAAGCCTCTTTAAATGTGGAGGATCACATGTTTCTGGGAATTTCTCTTTCGGAGTTATGATGCGTCAAACTTTGGTCCAATGTTAAGTCAATGGGATTTTTCAGAGTTTTCCAGGTCAGTTTTCCAAAAACTGAAAGTTGGATCAGTTGGAAAAGACATAGCAACCCAAGACAGACTAGTCTAAATATGTGCACCAAATCTGGCGGTCATCGCTTAAAATCCCTTGGAGGAGATAGATTTTAAATTTCCTATGTAAGAGAAAGGGATAATATTGTTTATGTAGGATAATCGTATGCTGGGGTAATCAAAGCAACATCATTAAAGATCTCCAACCTCTGTGTTCTTCAGCGTCTCCTGCGTTTCCTTCCTCCTCATTAATAATCTTCATTACAGTGTCACAGCTCCACATCTGGAGAAAAAGATCCACCACGCATTAATCTACACAGTTATTTACACTTCTGTTTAATGACATGATGCAACAAACTAAATACATGTTAAATCTTAAATCTAAAGACCATCAAGTGTCAGATTTAACCCTACACCTGGTTAGTAACTAGAGCAGTGTTTATAAAGCATTTCAATGTGGTGATGTCATTGACCCGTGAACATTTGGTGCTTGTTAATAAACTCTTTCATAACTGTAACAAGAGGCAATTCAATACTAACTTAATGTCAAAACAGCACTAATAACATCAATATGTGGCTCTTTTTGGATTCTCGGAAGCTAAAGAAATTAAAAATGTAAAACAGGAAATATGCTGGGATCATCGTGTTTGTTTACATCCCTCAAAATGGTCTATAGAGCGTTATATTTATATTAAAATATAATATAGCCTCTAAAATAGGGGTCTCAAACTGCGACCCACGGCTGATGTCAAAAATAGAACCAGACTTGGCCCCACAGAATGACATATTTTTATTTACGATCATTGTTGTGCCGTCACATTCAGCCACTTGTGGTTTTGAGCCTCTACTGGACATGTAAGGTACTGCAATATATGCGCTACATTTTTACACTTCTATCCAACTGAATGACCCAACAAACTAATATATTTTTAACCTTCAAGACACTAAAGAGCATCAAATGTCACATTTAACCCCATAACTAGTCAGTATTAATAGACTAGATCCATGTTTATAGCATAAATTTATAATAAAATGTAATATAGCCTCTAAATCAGGGGGCATAAACTACCACCCACAACTGACGTCAAAAATATAACGAGATAGGCCTCCAAAACCGACGCAGTGGCGCAGTAGGTAGTGCTGTCGCCTTACAGCAAGAAGGTCGCTGGTTCGAGCCTTGGCTGAGCCAGTTTCTGTGTGGAGTTTGCATGTTCTCCCCGTGTTGGTGTTGGTTTCCTCTGGGTGCTCCGGGTTCCCCCACAGTCCAAACACATGCGCTATAGGGGAATTGGGTAGGCTAAATTGTCTGAAGTGTGTGTGTGAATGAGTGTGTATGTTTCGCAGAGATGGGTTGCAGCTGGAAGGGCATCCACTGCGCAAAACATACGCTGGATAAGTTGGCAGTTCATTCCGCTGTGGTGACCCCTGATTAATAAAGGGACTAAGTTGAAAAGAAAATGAATGAATGGTCCCCAAAATATCTATATTTAAATTACTATCATTGTGCCGTCGCATATAGCCACTTGTGGTTCAGTGCCACCACCTACTGGACATGTAAGGTACTGCACTACACATGCGCTACATTTTCACTTTCAGTTTGTCTCAGTGTACTCAGTCAAGAGTAACACACCTGCAGATTATTTCTGTGGCTGATTTAAAAGTGGAAACCTCGGAAATATATGTCTATAAGGGCTCTATTTTTGTAAATGTACAAAGGTCATTCGATTACTATTAGTTTTATACCGCCTGTATTTTGTTGTACACACACTTCTCCATGGCTTACACAAAATACTGTGATCATTTTACTAATATTTATTCATTTTCTTTTCGGCTTAATCCCTTTATTAATCTGGGGTCGCCACAGCGGAATGAATCGCCAACTATTCTAGCATATGTTTTACACAGCGGATGCCCTTCCAGCTGCAACCCAGTACTGGGAAATACTAATATTCATTTCAAATTTAACAGATGTTCCTCCTATGTGTATTAATATCTGTGTAAACACTCTGCTCTTCAGTGTAATGTTGATGTCAGGCTGGTTGAACTGAACACGTTAAAGTAAATAAATGTGAATATATACATGCTTGATTTCCCTCTTTATTGTAGTTTTACTAAAAATAAAGATATTGAGACCGCAATATCCGCTCTATCCTGAATGTTCTCCTAAAATGAGCATGTCTTCTGTGTGTGGGTTCCAGCACTTCACTTCGCTGGTAAAGAATGGGCTCTTGTCATTGCCTTTAGTTAAATAACTGAACATAAACACAGGAGGCTGAGGAAAAAGCCCATTTCAGGAGAACATTCCACATGACACTTGCAGTTTTTTCACGCTTCATGTGTTTACAAATCAGAGGTTTACAACATTATACCTGTTTAGGATCATATCGTCAGCATGCGATTGCAGAATCAAAAATACGAGACATTGCTTTAGCAACATTAGCTGTAGTGCTAATGCAGCTATTCTCTATCTCTGACAGCAAAATATTACAGCTGACCTATTGTTTCCTTAGCGAATATCCGCTATTTATACTTCAGAGGAACAGTAACATTACTGCAAATAACATTAAACGGGTACAATAATAACAGTTTACCTAAAACCAGCAGTTGTTTTTCTTCTTCTTCTTCGTGTTGTTAATCGCGGTTAAATCTGAAACAGAGCAGCGCCACCTGCTGCACTGGAGCGACACAAATACACTAAACTAGGGGTGGGCAAACTCGGTCCTGGGGGGCTGGTGTCCTGCATAGTCTAGCTCCAACTCTAATCAAAAACACCTGAACATGCCGAACAGTGTCTACAAGATCACTAGAAATCTATAAGCAGGTGTGTTTGATTAGAGTTGGAGCTAAACTGTGCAGGACACCGACCCCACTTGCCCACCCCTGCACCTACCAACATCATGAAGCTGATAAATCTGAAGGCGGGGAAACATCAAACGTGTATTTAAACATATTTAAAGCTGTTTTAAACCTCATAGTACATAAAATAAGGAAAAGAAAACAGCATCAGAAATCTTACAATCTATTTGATCTCAGATTGGTCATTCATTTTCAGCTTAACCCCCTTAATTCATCAAGGCCCGGTTTTTCAAAAGTAATCCACTGGGATTTTGGATAACGGATCGGATCAAATTTTAAAAATGGGTTTTTCTAAAGAAAAAACGGGTTATGTAATTGGATTAGATCACGTAAGCCAATCTTGGTTTCGATGCCTTTTCTGTAGGATTTGAATCACTTTGATCCAGCAAATCTGGATTAAACGGATCCCATCAGTAGGGTGGATTTAGTGTGGATTTCATGCCCAAAATGTAATGAAAACTTTAAAAATGTATCAAACAATACTATATCTGGATCATGCAGTATCTTACAAGATTTATTGATAAGGTTTTAATTGTATTTGTTCATCCGTCAGGCTGTAGTGATTATAGACTTTAACGTATTCAGCCTTTCAGGATAGGCCAACAGCAAAGCAGAAAGAGTTTGGCCTCATAAAATAATCCCCCAAACATGTCAAAAAAAGACAAAAACAACAATTTTATTCCGTCACTAATTGATATATATATATTCATCACAATGGAAATATTTTTGTGTTTAGAATATTTATTAGTGATGCATGCAATGATTACAGAATAACCAAAAAATGCAAAGAATGGCGATCGCTGATTTCTGAAATCACTTTCAACACTTGCAGAAAGAGACTGAAAGAGCAGAAGCACAGCTTCATCTGCAGAGGAACAACAGACTCTGAGCAAACCAAGACCAGACCTGAGATCAGCCTCCTAAAGGCTGCGTTCAGACAAGCTGCTCTCTCCACATCAGATGAGGAATCTGACATTACTGTGGAGGTTTTGACATCGTCTTTTTTAAATTCAACACATCTATATTTGAAACGTGTTATAAATATCCTCAATGTCCAGTGTTTGTGTTGTAGATCTCAGATGAGCGGACTGCTGGAAGAGGATGGGCTTGTGTTTTTCTTGTTTGTAGTTTTTTTGTTAAATGTGTGTGTGTTTTCACTAAAATAATAATAATAATAATAATAATAAAGTTATATATACTCCACACTGGCTATTCTGCTTGTTGCTCTGTACATATCTTTAGCTCTGTGATTTCCTCTCCTGTTTGAGCACGGGTTACCCAGATTTACTGATTTTCTAAAATCTCAACGCTACACTGTTTGTTTGTTTTCCAGACATTTTATAGGGTACGGTTGACATCCTAAACAGTAAAAAGAACATAAACTAAAAAAAACCTTGTAACACAGCCTGCAGGTCTACACATGCGTTTAGGAAAAGGCATAAGGGGAAAATCAGATCAGTTCATTCTGCATAAAGGCATCCTGATGTGATGAATATTTAGGCATAATGTCTCTGTTTCACTGTAGATAGTGGAACGATTGTTTTAATGAAATCTCCGTCTCTTAAAGTCGATGTTTGAGCAGACGCAGAAGCTTATTATGCTCCTGATTTATACTAACCTCATTCATCTCAAGCAGAACATTTACACTTATCAATCCCACAGATATTCATAGTTAGATAAACACCCACAAAGCAATGCTTAACACACGTCTAATAGACATCTAAACATGGACGTCTTGCATAAAGTTAAATTTGATCCATCAGTGAACGACTAATTGACGTCTATGAATAGTCCAAAACTAAACTACTCATCAAACACCCAGACTAGACAGATACCACTAACCCAAATTTAGCCTTGTTTTAGTAAAGCCGTCTTATGTTGAGACATCTATTAGACATCTAGTCAGCTTTTTAAACCCCTTATTGTCATCCCACATTTTAAACATCAATATTTGAGCATTAATTGAGCATAGATTTAAGATTGGTGTCATTTTAAAGAAGACAGATGTCAGATTGTAGCCGAAGTGGAAAAAAGGTTAAAGAGTTAAACCATTAGTTATGTGCCTACAATACATGTGTATATTAGTACATTACATGACATATTTTAGCCTAAAATTGACAGAACTTTAAAGCTAAACATTTGATCAAATTATATTCCAAATGTAAAGTTAACATCTCAAAAATTGAGTTTTTTTTCTGTAAGATTGTTTGGCCACACTACCAGACATAATCACCGTGTTTACATTGCTTACCATACAAAGGTTCCCCTGATGTTTTGCAGAATATAAACCATATTATTTTCTACTTTTGACAATATTTGTAAAGTAAACATAGAATTCTGATGTAGTATAGGCAGTTTGATAGCATTAGAGTTGAATTTAGCCTCCAAAAACACCTTTACATGTGGATTGCTGTAGCAAAGTAATACTTTACTACTCTAATGAGTGCTGTTGCAAATTAATAAACAACTGCTGCTTAGTAATATCTATCAAAAATCAGCCACCAGAAATGGAAACTAGAAATATTAAGAGTTCAAACGATATATAGATTGTCATGATTGCTTCACGTTTATACTGCAATATTATGGTTTAGAAATGTAGGTGTAAACGCTCACACAGGTTGTATGGTGACAGTAAACGTGTTTAATCTATCACTCTTCCTACATAATAATTGTATCCATGTCTTAGTCAAGCCGTCTAATGTTTAAACATCGATTTGACGTCTATCAGACTTCTTCTTCTAACCCCTTAACTGTCGCCTCCAGTTTATTAACATACCTTTGAGCATCAATTGAGCGTAGATTTAAGATTACCGTCATTTTGAAGAAGACAGGTGTCAGATTGTAGTTGAAGTGAGAAAATGTTAAATAAAACAAGTTACATTACTTAGAATTAATTTATAAAAACAGTACATTTATATTTTAATATATTACATAAAATACCTTTTTATACATAAAAAAGGTTTAGCCTACAGTTGACAGAAAATCAAAGCTAAGTACGTGATCAGTGTCTATTCCAAATCTCCAAAATATTGAGCTTTCAGTGAGATGTAGTTTGGCCGCAGTACCAAACATGACCACTAGGTCACCATACGGTTTTCATTAGTGAGAAAAGACGGGCACCACTTATGTTTTTGAGGAATATGAACCATATGTTTTCATACTTTTGACAATATTTGTAAAGTAAACATACAATTCTGATGTAGTATGGGCAGTTTGGTGGTATTAGAGTTGAATTTAGCCTCCGAAAACACTTTCACATGTGGATTGCTGTAGCAAAGTAATACTTTACTACTCTAATGAGTGCAAATTAATAAATCACTGTTATTACTAACTCAGTAATATCTATCAAAAATCAGCCACCAGATATGAAAACTAGAAATGTTGCGCATTCAAATGATATATAGCTTGTTATGATTGCTTCACGTTTATACTACAATATTATGGTTTAAATGTAAGTGTAAGCGCCCCCACAGGTTGTAAGGTGACAGAAAACGTGTTTCATCTATTACTCTTCACACATAACTATAAGCAGTGATGCATATCTACTCACACATCTTTGACCTTCCCATCGATATACAGTTCGTCATGTTTAGATTAAGATTTAATTGCAAAAATAAGATGTAAACATAAGCCTCCAGGAGGCGTTTAAGGGGTTAAACACAATGATGCTTGCTGGGTATCATCTGAGCAATTATTAATAGAGACTTGTCGCTAGGTCATTGTCAGTGTGCATTCTTTTCTAGATGCATTTTTAAAAAGCACAACCTTACAAAGCCCTTCCCACACACCGTACACGAGTACGGCTTTTCCCCACTGTGAGACATCAGGTGTGTCCTCAGGTCTGACTTCTGCACAAACGTTTTACCGCACTGATCGCAGTCAAAGGGCTTTTCCCCGGAGTGAATGAGCTTGTGGATCTGGAGACTCCTCCGCCATTTGAAACTCTTCCCGCACTCGTCACAGGTGTAGGGCTTCTCTCCGGTGTGGATCCTCTCGTGTCCCTGAAGGCTTCCAGAACTGGTGAAGCTCTTCTCGCAGTATGAACACTTGTAGGGCTTTTCTCCAGTGTGGATCTTCTGGTGCGCGTTTAACAGTGTGGACGTGGTGAAGGCTTTTCCACAATCCGAGCACACGAACTCCTTCACCCCGGCGTGTGCTTTCTGATGGTTTTTAAAAACGCTCAACCTCACAAAGCCCTTCCCGCACACCGCACACGAGTACGGCTTTTCTCCAGTGTGGGACATCATGTGGGTCTTCAGGTCTGACTTCTGCACAAACTTCTTCCCGCATTGATCACAGCTGAACTGCTTTTCTCCAGAGTGAATGAGCTTGTGGATCTGGAGGCTGTTCTCCCACTTGAAGCTCTTTCCACACTCGTCACAGGCGAACGGCTTCTCCTCGGAGTGGATTCGATGGTGCTTCTTAAACGCTCCCGACTGCTTGAAGGTCTTCTGGCAGAACGCACACTTATAGGGTCTTTTTTCGGTGTGGATCTTCTGGTGCGCTTTCAGCAGGGTGAACGTCGTGAAGGTTTGGCCACAATCCGTGCATGAATACTCGTTCACACCCGTGTGTGTTTTCTGATGGTGTCGAAAACGACACAAGCGCGCAAACCCCTTCCCGCAAAACTCACACGAGTAAGGTTTCTCGTTAGTGTGGGACATCATGTGGTCCCGCAGTTCTGACTTCTGAATATATCTCTTCCCGCACTGATCACAGCCGAAGGGCTTTTCTCCAGAGTGAATGAGCTTGTGGATCTGGAGACAGTTCGCCCATTTGAAGCTCTTTCCACACTCGTCGCATGTAAACGGCTTCTCTTCGAAGTGAATTCGCTGGTGATCGTCAAACGTTCCCGAGCGTCTGAAACTCTTCCCGCATAGGGAGCACGTGAACGGTTTCTCTCCGGTGTGGAGTCTCATGTGCACCTCCAGACTTGATTTAATTCGGAAGCTCTTCCCACATTCAGCGCAGGCGAACGGCTTCAATCCAATGTGGATGCCAATGTGCTGCTTGAGGTAATGCTTCTTTCTGAAGCTCTTTCCACATTGAGGACAGGTGAAAACGGTTTCAGTGTCTGCAGGTTGAGATTGCGTTTCTCCAACCGCACCATCTTGACATCCCTCCTCCTCCTCCTCTTTAATTTCTCTCTCTTCTTCCTTGACTATCATCAGGGCTGAAATAAAACACATCCTGACTTTAATTTCAAGTGACACCTCTATTATCTGCATTTTCAACAGTCTGTGGCCCTGCTTTTACATTAATACGTTTTAGTTTTAAAGGGTCACGAAACACCAGAACACATGTGTTTGAGCTGTTGACAGTGGTATATGTGTCCCACACTGCTAAAAACACTATTAGGACACCTATATTTCACTAAAAAGTGTAAATTGGTTGATTTTGCGTTATTTCAAGCAAATTCGTACTTCCGGTTTGAAACGAATTTTTGAAGCTGCGTCACGGTCATGAGATAATAGCGTGTATTCCAGCGTGCAGACTGGACGTCTGTGCCAGAGTGTGTCTTATTACGTCTTACAGTGTGCTGCATTAATGCATGAGTAAGGCTTGGTTCAAACGAATCAGCGCGCTCTATTGTGCAACTTCATTAATATTCATTACTGTCAGTGTTTAGACGACAGAGACGCCACGTTGTGTTGGCAAAACAAGCGTGAAGTGTTGCTTTTATAGTTTGCTGCAGTGAAGTTTTGTTTTCATTTTCTCTCTGTGAGAGCGCAGCTGGAGTCACGTGTGGATTAACAGTGTACGCGACGCTCGACAACAATAACTTACGTGTCTAAGGAGGAACATTGTTTGGTAAGTGAGCGACCAGTGCTCTTTGTTAAGTCAGTTTGTTCGTATTGAACTAAGTTAACTATTGCACCGAGTGTAAACATGTTAGCACCACAACCAAACTTTAACCTTGTGTAGGATTTTCGCCGCATTTAGTGACCGGAATAACACACGCGGCTTTCTGACACTACCTGCCGTGTGCATATAAGTTTCCGGGAAATGTGGTGGGTTTTTTTTCTCTCATTCGCCGTGTGGCATTAAACATTGCATGAAAAATACACGCTTAGAGCAGCTCCTCGAATCAAATATCTCGTTTGTGGCGAGGGGCATGAATGAATTCCCTGAATGAAAGAGCCAAACTGCTGTTAAAGTCCAACATTTAATCATTTGGCAAATAATTCGACTACAGATGTCCATGTAAACACCATCACTTTCTCCCGTGTGTGTGTGTGTGTGTGTGTGTGTGTGTGTTTTGACTCTGAAACTCGCGCTTGCCCAAATAGACACTCCCACACCCTCTCACTTTAGTTCCTCCGACACTCCCCCCTAAACAGAGCTGGACACGCCCACTTTTCCCGAAGTAGAGGTGTGAAAACACCCTGCTGAAACGAGGGCGTTTCATGGCCCTTTAAAACGGCCTTTTAGAATGAAAGTGATCCGCGTCCA